TGGGCTGGGCAGCCCTCGCTGGCCCCTGGGCTCATCCTCCAGGAGCTTTCCCTCCGCCGTCCCGCTCCGGAGAGTTCAGCAGACGTGAGCAGCCACACGCTCTGTGCCCTGCCGGACAGGAAGATGGCAGGGAGGCCTTGCTGAGCGCATGGTCAGCTGATGGGGGGACAGCCCGAGGGCTGAGGACAGCCGGGGGGCAGCAGCGGCGGCAGACAGGGTCCTCCGGGAGCAGCTTCCGGAGCCTGGGCTCCCGAGGCTTGCCCGGCCTGGGGCCGCTCTCCTGCCGTCCCCCGGCTTCCCCACGTGCCCCCGTGGTGGGCGCCGTGGTGCTCACCGTCTGCGGGACGCTGGGGCCCAGGTCCGGGGAACACGGGGGTGCACCAGGGTGCTCTGTGCCAGCGCCCACCGGAACCTGGAGTGTACTGCTGCGAACCGAGGCTGCTTCTCTGGAAAACCCCTTCGCGCTGGCTGCCACGGAGCTCAGACATGAACTTGTGCAACTGGGGTTCCCTGTCTGGGTGTCCCTGTAAGCCGCTTGGAGTCCTTTTTGGAATAAGGACGTTTCCTTGTGCTTCAGGCTGTTCTGATACCGATCAGTGAGCCTTGAGTGAGCGTCTTCCGTGACCACATTTCACCTGCTGGTTTTGCTCCTTCACCCAGGCGGCACCCACTGTGGGCACGGGGTGGGGGCGGGGGACTGGCGGAGCCTCTGGGTTTCCAGGGCCTCCCTCCTCGGGGAGGTCGGCGGGGATCCTCTGCCTGCGGTTCCCGTGGACACCGAGGCAGTCGGTGCTGGGCCCACAGCCCAGAAGGTACCGAGCGGCGCCGCCCAGACACCAGCTCGGGGACATGGCAGGCCTGGCTGTGGCGTGGGGCTGGAGCCCCGACGTCTGGCTGTGTCCCACGACCCAGGCCACTGCTCCTCCTCGTGGGAGAGGAGGGCCCAAAGCCCGCGGAGACAAGGCTCCCAGGGGCTGGGGTGGCCTGGGGGATGCCAGATGGGGGGTGGTCTCTCCTGTAGGCTTTCGCTGGAGGCCCCTTCGGGGGCCAGGCCGGTCGCAGTGGCTGCACCAAGGCCAACACATGAGGGTCTGGCCTGCCCCCACGGGGGGGCCCGCGTGCTGGGCCCTTGGCTGCTCCGCTCCCCACTGGGTCTGGCCCCACAGGCAGACCTGCTCCTGCCGACGGGTCCAGCGTGAGCTCCCACTTCCCCACGCCGCCTCAGACGAGCCCGAACGGACTGGCCCAGCCTTGAGACCCCTTGGGGACTTCTGGGCCCACTGTGGCCACCTCACTGCGGGACCCGAAGGCCCAGGTGCTTCCCCAGCTCAGCGCGTGTGCAGAGGCCATCCTGGGGCCTGGGAAGCTCAGCTCAGCTCCTAACGTGGCAAAGCTGGCCTTCACCGCCTTCCCGGCGGGCACGCAGTTCCTGTGGGAGACCAGCAGCTCTGAGAGCCGAAGGCCGAGTGTGTTTTGTTCCTGCTGGGGCACTGGCACCGGCAGCTCCATGAGGGCTTGGCCAGGCTCTCTGCCGGGGTCTCCAGGGAGTGAATGGTACCGGGCCCCACTCAGGACGCTCGTGAGGATGTGGCCGAGTAGGGTGCAGCCCAGCACCTTGGGGACCCGGGAAGGGCCGCCGCTGACCCTGGCCCTCAGCACCCAGGGAGCAGCAGCAGGTGGTGGCAGTGCCCAGGGAAAGCCAGGCCGTGAGAGACGGGCCGGCCTGGATCCAGTGGTAGCTTTCGTTGGCCCCCAGGCTGACTGGGGGCTCCCGGCCTCTCCACTGGCAGCCATGGACACCCTGGGTCAGCGGGAGCTGGGGGGGCGGGATCTGTGGGTGCAGGCAGAGCCGCCCACACGGCCCTCCAGAGACGACGGACCTGGAGCCAGAGCTCGCTCGTGTCACATACACGTGCACAGGGCTTCTGCCCAGTGCCGGCGCTCACTGCCCCGGCTCCTTCACGTTATTTTTAAAAGCAAACTCAGACACCCAAGTATATCATGGGCAGTCACAGTGAAGTGCATTTTATTTTGGTGTGAGCTACAGTCTTTATACTCCCTGTATCTTAGGGGATGTAGGTCACACCGCACGTGTGCACCACTGCAGGCGGTGAAGGCACGTTCCGAGTCACAAGGAGGGCCTACCACGCTGTGGGGGGCAGGCTGGAGCGCCCTGCTCGGGAACCCTGGGGCTGTCGCTGCAGCGGACCCTCCAGGGCTTCCCCCGCCTCGCCTCCGCTGGCCTCCGGCCCCAGCAGCCCCGTGGAGAGAGGCTGTTCAAGCAGCTCTGCTTTCCGGACAGCCGAACTGGGGCAGGAGGGCTGAGCCGCTGGTCCGGGGTCACCGCCCAGACGAGGGCAGCCGTGGAGATGCAGGCCCTCCTGCGAGGACAGAGTCAGAGCTCCCCAGCAGCCAGCGCCGAGCATGGGTCACCCCGCTGGAGTCACAGTGGCCGCGGGAACAGAGCCAGCCTTTCGGAGGTGGGGCGCTAGATGTGCCCCCCAGGAGTGGACGCTGCAGGACGTGGTGGGCGATGCAGCCGCTCGTACCACAGCCACCTCCAGTGGTTCAGCTGTTTTGATCACCTGAGCAGTGTGGCTCCGAGGAGGGGGGGGTCCCCAGAGCTGGGGCTCACTGGCCCGGCTTGCTCTGCGAGGAGGCAGGGGAACTAGGGCGTGTGAGAGAGGGGGAGCCTGCCCCCCCCCGCCATGTTCCTCTCCGCGTTCGGGTTCGCTTCTCTCCATCACGGCTCTTTGTCAGCACGCCTCTCCACCGGGAAGGCCCCCGCTGGTCCCTCCACACAGCGGCCGGTGCTCGGGGTCTTGCTCCAGCCCGACCTCGTGTGCGGCTGCCCTGGCTTCGGGCCCCTGCCCCTTGCCCCTCCGATTCGGGGCAGCGTGGAGTCAGACCCACTGCTGCAGACCCCAGCCCTGCACCCAGAGCTGTGTGACTCTGGGCAGACAAATGGGCCGCCCTGAAGGTTGGAGGGCTCTGTGCTGGGCTCGCCCTGCAGGCAGGCGGTAGCCGGGACTCAGACACCATCTGTGCAACCGGCCCCGCGGGTGCAGAGGGGACCCCTCTCTCCACCACCGCCCGCCAGGTCAGCAGTTCCTCAGCTGCGGGGGGTGGAGCTGGCACGGAGGGCCCCACATTCAGAGTGAAACCAGTGGCTTTACTGCTTAATCTCTGCACTCGCTGGGGCTGGGCCCGCGGCCAGGCCTGGAGCAGAACCGAAAGGGAGGCCAGGCCTGTTCCCCTCTCGGCCTGGCCTACTTCCTCTGGGCGATCCTGAGGCCGGGAACCCGCGGGTGGGGCGGGGACAGGGCCCCTGCAGAAGCAGGAGAAGGAAGGAAACGGCCCTCTGTGCCTTACCCACTCTGCAGACAGGAAGCGGGGGCTCGGAGGGACCGGCTGGCTCTGGAAGCTGCGGGGCACAGAGGCCTCTGCTCCTCAAGTGAGGCTGCTGTGCTCCCCATGTCTGACTCCCAGGCTGAGAAGCTGGGGTGCAGGGGACGTGGGAGAGAAACTGGAAAGGGGAAAAGGCTGGGGCTGGGACTGACTAGCTGTGCAACCCCTCGCTTCCTCATTCGTGCCGTCAGTGTGACGACGCAGCAAACCCCAGCAGAGGCCAGCGGTTCCTCGAGTGCTGCTCCTGTCCCCAGACGGCTGTGTCCACGGGGCAGGACCGGGACCTCCCAGGAGCCCTGTGGGGCAGTGGGGGGCGCACCAGGAGAAACCCCAGTCTGGCCAGCCCTCTTGCCAGGCTGCCATTCCCCCTCCCTGCTCACTGGCCTTCCTGCGGGCGGGGGGGGAAGAGGGGCTGGAAGCAGGCCGTGAGAGGTGCCTGGCTCCTGCGTGGCCACCGCACGGTTAAGCACATCTCTGTGGGGACCACCTTTGGAAAGGGCAGCTCCTGGCCAAGAGGTGCCCTTCTGGGCGGAGGTGGTGGAGGCTGGATCTCCCAAAGCCTGACTCTCGTTCCCACTTCCTCGCCCTGTGCTGGCTCTTTAGGGGCCACCTCCTGGCCCTTCTGGGGGAAAGAGCTGCTGGAGATGGGGGGGGGAGGGGAAGCTCGGCAGGGCCCCCTCTGCCCAGTCCCAGCCCATCTCTGGCTCTGTCCACCGTTCTTATCTTCCGGCCTCTGCTGGAGGTAGCCACCGTCGCTGGCCCAGGGTTTGGGGACCATTTCCCACCTACGCTGGAGCTTGTGTTTGTGGATGTCATGGCAGGCCCCTGGGCCCGAGGCTGTGTGGGGCTCTGGGCTGGCTGTAAACTGGGGCCGGCCGGGCACGCTGGCAGAAGCCCCCAAGGCCTGTGGCTAAGCTGCTCCTCCAACCCCTCCTTGTCCTGAGACAGGACAGATTAGCGAGTTTTGGGAATTTGATGCTCTGGCATTCAAAACCTGCTTTTCCCTTCTCTGAGTCAAACGGCTTCACCCCCAAGATCTGCGTTTTTTCCATAAGCTGCAGTGACAGTATCTGCTTCCTGGGGCCGCTGTTAGGTCAGAAGGAACCCATACTAGTGGGGGGCTAAAGACACGACGCAGACTTGGGGCCCCTGGCAGAGCCAGGCAGCACCAAAGAGAAATGTGACTTGGGTTAGAGCCCCTCACGTCATGCCCCCTCTCCGGGCTGGTGACGGGTCAGGCAGTCCCCGTGACAGGGCTGCGCGAGGAGCTCTTCGCCCCAAAGGGGAGAGGAGAGAGGGCAGCAGGCGAGCACATGTCAGTGCCGGACTGTCCACCCGTCCAGGTGAAGGGGAGTTGGCCCCCAGCCCACACAGGACTCACTCCGGGGATCTCAGTGTGTGGGGTGCTCCAGGGGCTGGAAGGACCCTCTGTGGGCTCTCGAAAGCCAGATGCAACTTTCCTCCAGACTCGGGGTGCCCGCTTCACAGCACCGTGAGCACGCGCTCAGCAGAAAGAGAGGCCTGGGGGCGGGGGGGGGGGGGCAAAGGACCACCCGAGGGACAAGCCCTGAGTCTCTGCCTTGGTCGCCTAGAGCTCCAAGCCCAAGCTGCAAGCAGCCTGCTCCAGTCTCCAGGAGGTCCGGCGGTGCACACGCCTAGAGATGCCCGACAACCTCCACACCTTCGTGCTGAAGGTGAGTGGCGCAGCCTCCCGCACCTAGGGGCAACACCCCGCTCTCCACAAATACCCCATACAGCCGTTCCCTTCCTGCCCACCAGGTGAAGGACCGGACAGACATCATCTTTGAGGTGGGAGACGAGCAGCAGCTGAATTCATGGATGGCTGAGCTCCGGGAGTGCACAGGCCAAGGGTGAGGCGCCCCAGCTCTGCTCCGGGCACCGTTTCCCCTCAACCCTGGTCTGCACAGAGCCTTAACCCCAGCCTCTTCCCCAGCAGGCTGGAGAGCACGGACCCAGAGATGCACATTCCCTCGGCTCCCGAGCCCGGCATGACCAGCTCACCGAGGGGAAGCACAGAGTCCCTGAACCAAGGTCAGTGGGTCTGGGCCTTGGTGCTCTGAGTACGCCCGAACCCAGCCTCAGCCCAGGGTAAAAGGTACCCAACAAGGGGTCACCATTACCCATCTTCTCTAGCAGGGGCTTCTCCTGGGGCGTTGCTGGACCCAGCCTGCCAGAAAACAGACCACTTCCTGTCCTGCTACCCCTGGTTCCACGGCCCCATCTCCCGAGTGAAGGCAGCTCAGCTGGTCCAGCTGCAGGGCCCTGACGCTCACGGAGTGTTCCTGGTACGGCAGAGCGAGACGCGGCGCGGGGAGTACGTGCTCACGTTCAACTTCCAGGGCATAGCCAAGGTAGGGGGCAGGGCAAGTGGGGCTGTGCCCCCACCCCAAGTTCAAGGCCCGTAGGGGCCACTGCCTGAGCCGCCCCTCTCCCCCCCCCCCACAGCACCTGCGCCTGTCACTGACCGAGCGGGGCCAGTGCCGCGTGCAGCACCTGCACTTCCCCTCCGTCATGGACATGCTCCACCACTTCCAGCGCTCGCCCATCCCGCTCGAGTGCGGGGCCGCCTGCGACGTCCGGCTGTCCAGCTACGTGGTGGTCGTCTCCCAGCCCCCAGGTGGGGGCCCACTGCCCCTGGGTCGAGGGGGTGGCTGGCCCAGGGAACCACAGGGGGCGAGAGCGGCTGCAACCCCAGGGACTTGGAGATCTTGTCTTGGGTCCTCCGACATTCTCCTGCCCCGGGGACGCTGACACTGCGGTCTGTCACTTGGTCCCCAGGTTCCTCCAACACCGTCCTGTTCCCGTTCTCCCTCTCTCGCTGGGACTCAGAGCTGGGCCTGCCCCACCTCAGTGCCGCTGCCTGTCCGAGGGGGCCGGGCCCCGAGGGCCTCCCAGGCCGGTCCTCCCCCCCAGAGCAGATCTTCCACCTGGTGCCTTCGCCCGAGGAACTGGCCAACAGCCTGCGGCACCTAGAGCCAGCGCCCACCGGCCGCGCCCGGGACTCGGACTACGACACGGACTCCTCCTCCCGGAGCCACCTGCGGGCCGTCGACAACCAGTACACACCTCTCTGACGGGCGGCGGAAGCCCGGGCCCACGGACGCCCCGGAGGAGCAAGCACAGCGAGCAGAGACGGGACTTGTGATTGTAACCGCCTTTCCTTCCTTTCAGAGAGAGTTCGGGGACACTGTTAACTGTTCTTCCAGTTTGGACGCAACCCTTTTATTAGGCCTGTTAAAGGGCCCCTCTAAGTTGCAGGCTGATTTTCTCCTTGTTTACAGATGTGGTTCTTGTTCGCAGATGCCGCCGGCTCCCGCCCTGGGCCCCTGGGCCCAGTCCCCGTCGCTCTCCGAGCAGGGGCAGCGGGCAAGGGCCAGGCCTGGCAGTGGAAACGTGTTCTCTTTCTCACTGACGCTGTCGCAGCTGATGCCAGGCGCTCTGCTAGCGGGGAGGGGTCCTCAGGAAGCCCAAAACACTAACCAGCCCTGGACTGTCTCATGGTTTTCCCGTTGTGGCGTCAGTGCACGTGGCCGCTCTGCGGCACCCCCGCCACGGGCGACCACACCTATCCTGCTTCGACACTCAGCCTTACGACTAAGCTCAAGAATGATGTTAAACATTTTACCTCAGATAAATTTCTCAAAGGATTCAGGTTTGAAAACTAAACCAAGCATTGCTTATTTCACTGTACTGTCTGAACTAACACCCAGGTTTCTGCAGCCAGAGACAGCTATGCAAACCCGACCTGACCAGCTCCCGGCCGAGCCAGCCGCCCGGCTTCCTGGTCTAGTGCGTCCTCCGGACGGGCACCTGCTGCCGAGCAGCCACTGTCCTTCCCCTCGCAGAGAAGTGGAGCGTGTCCCTTTCGGGGGCATCCAGGCAGTCACTGAGATAGGGTGGCAAGCTGTTGTTCTACCCTGGTGCCTTATGCGTCAAAAACTGGATTCTGCCTCACAGCAGCTTTACGGTGGGCGTTAAACTGAGGGGTGAGGGAGGGACAGGCAAGGAGGGAAGGAAGAAGGCTCCCGGGCCCGCCTAGTAAGCCCTTCCCCAGCAGGGCCGGCTCCGAGCTCCCCGGCATCCACTGGCTTCTTAGGTCGTCCCGCCAAAGGGTTCCGGCTCGTGCTGGAGCCAAAATGGAAGCTAGGACCCGGGGCCGCGGCTCTGGAGGCGCCCCGGCGACGGCCCACGGCTGGCGCTGTCCCTGCCGGCCCTGCTCCGCGTGAGGAGGCGTGCCCTCGGGCACACACCTCTGGCACCCAGGGAGGTCCCGGGTACAACCTCCATCTATGCTTCCTTCACAAGCGATGCGATTCCTAGTGGGGGGCTGGCTCCTCCCAGAGAGAGCTCCGTGAGGGGGCTCGGGGGGATGGGAAGCCAGCTGCTTCTGGGGCCCGCAGAGCCGGCCAGCACAGCCAGGCCCACCGAAGGGGCCCCTAGGAGCCTGAGCCTGGGGAGTTCGGCGTAGTTCTGACGCTGACGCGCACACCCCCCCCCATCAGTCGGCCAGAGGCGGAAGGTGAATGCTGGCCTACACCCAACCAGCCGCGGCCTGCCTTACCTGGGCGAGGGTCGGGTCTGCTCCCGCCAGCGGCACTCTGTACTCAGAGAGGCCAGACTTCTGCTTCTAGAATTTTTCTGTTTTTCGCTGGGGGCAAGGTGCCACCTCTTTACTTTTAAAACCAACATTCCTGGGTGTTGTCACGGGTTGTAAGGCAGTTCCAACCCTGATCCAGATTTCTGATCCATTTCTAAGGATAAATTTTCTACACACCAAGCAGGTTTCTCCAAGTAATCAATGCTAAGCAAAGGGTGAACCAGATGAACGAGCACTATTGAGAGAGAGACCTCATCACAGAAAGTCAATGCTGACAAGTCACTGGTGCAGGAAAGGGGTCAGACAACGAGCCGAGCAAGCCCCCACCCATCGCGTCTGGGCTGAGACCTCTTCAGGCCAGGGCGCTCACTTCTTAGCAATCTCGCCACGTGGAACCCCCAGGCAGTGCCGAGAGGCGCGCCAGACACAGCCAACGAGCAGCTCCGACTCCCCGGTTACAAAGTACGAGCTCAGACTGACAGAGACCCGGAAGTTGCCCACCTGCGGACTGCTTCCGTGTGAAGTGTCCATGAAAAGCATTTTTTTCTAGACATGTCCGAGTTACCAGGACAGCTCAAGTACATCCTGACAGACAGCCCCGTCCTGACCTGGGGAGAAGTGACCCCGAGCCCGTGCCTCTCCCTTCTGCTGCAGCAGGTCGGGGTGCACGGAGGGAGCAGCGGGCCCCTTGGCTGGACGCCCTCACAGTGACCCCGCGGGCGGCAGCCAGCCCCCAGCACGACAGCACACGCCACCCTCCTTCCGGGCCTGACGTGACCGCCGCTGACGGCGCCAGGCCCAGGCAGCAGCCTCCACTGAGAGCCCACGCTCAGTGCCAAAGGGACCGTTCGCGCCGCGGTCTCGTCGGGCGCCCCTGATTGCAGACGCCGAGGGTGGCCTGACTGTCCCCAGCACCGACACTCCCTTAGTCGGACTCTAACGGACTTTCACAAACTAATAGTCACCAGCACCAAAGAGTTAAGTCAACTAACCTGCCTTGACTTTTAGACCAGCAATCCACATGGCTTTATCTGGTATAAATCTTCTGCCTTTGATCACTTCTGGACCGTGTAGGAAAAAGGAATAGCAATCATTAAAATCTCAGACTAGAGAACACTATTTTTATATAACAGTTTCTTAACCTAAAATCAAGGCCTTGAACTCTTCCCTCCCCCCCAAGGGATGCCCGTGGTTTCTTCACGCTTTCCTGCAGGGCTAAGCCTCTCCTCGCACCGTCACCCGAGCGCCGCCCTCCTGCAGGCCGGAGGGGCCTGCAGCACCTGTCCCACCGCCTCTTCGCAGGGGCACGTCTGACTCCAGTGTGTGGCTGGAATAAGAGCACATTGTAACAGCACAGAAAATGGCTTCATCTTGTATCGTGGTGGGCAGAAGGTCTTTGGCAAATTTTTATGTCTTGTTTATGTACTGTATACGTAACTTATTCTTGAATAATGCAAATTTTGCTCTAGTGTACAAATTGCTACATATGAATTAAAAAAAGTTTTCAGGATCTTGACTTGTTGCCGAGAGAATTCACAGGCTCGACCTGGCACAGTGGGTCTCCCTGGAGCCCGGGCCCTGCTCCAACACTTGCCTTCCCTTGTCCTCCTCCCACGAGCCGGGCACACTCACCAACGCTCGGGCGCCCACAGCCGCAAGCGGCTCTGTGGGCCACTGCATCTTTTCTGCCCTCTGGGTTTCTCTATCCAAGTTTTTTCTTTTCTCCCCCATCCCATCTGGTTTTTTTTTAAATGAATTTTTATTTTTCAGTTATAGTTGACGTACGCTATCATGTTGGTTTCAGGCAAATCGTTATCACCATTTTTTACAAAAAGTATCTCCCGCCCCCTACTGGTCAGACAGACAGATGTCTGCATCAGGACAAGCGGCTGACGCACACATCCGTCTGGGTCCGGAGACGCTGAAAAGGAAGCTCACAGAATCAGTGTCAGGCTGAGGATGCGGGTTTCAGCGCTGCCCACCTCGGGCCGGCCTCCCTCCTCCTGGAGCGGCTCTCCAATCCACCAGAGAGAGTATCTCAGTCTTGTCTTTTTCCAGAGAGACCTTGAACCAAAACTAAAGGTGAAGAGGAAAAAGCATTTGACAACTAACCTTCCAGGGTATTAAGAAAGCACACTCCGCCCTCCTGCCTTGGTATTAACCAGCATCTTATACAAACGCACACTAACTGGATATCAGTTTTTAAAACTTTTTTTATTTTTTGATTTTTTTTAAAGTTTTTATTTTATATTATCTACAAAGTAAAAGTTTTTCCCTTAACTTAAAAGTTGAACCACTGTAGACAGTGATCACTTCATCAAACTTGATTTATAAATAATAATCCATCAGTTTGACGGTAAGAATTTACTGAAACTTTGTCAAGTTTAGTAAAAGGGTGTTCCAAGTCTTGATTTGTTTTTGTTTTGTTTTTTTTTTTTAGCAGTAATCGCAGCAAGAATCACTCTTGTTACTTTTGCTAGCTGATGTGTTCATGACTTTTGAGGGTCATTAAAAAATAAATAACTTCCAGTTTCAGCAAGCAGAGCTGGGTACTTGCAGGACTCTGAAACAGCATATGGAAGTATGGAACAGCCCACAAGTTCCTAAATGCCTCTACTCGGTCCAAACATCTTCCACTGCAAGTGAACTGTTAGCATTCCTATCGGATGTTACAAGAAATCAACATATATTTTTAAAAAACAAAATAAATGAAATTCTAATTTTCTGTGCTTCCAGTTGGTAGAAGCAGTAGAAGGGAGGAGGGAATTTGGCCTTTCGGTTCCTCCAGGGCAGCCTTACAACTGCTGTTGGTGGTGGGCTTGTACTGTAAAAAAGAAAAGTGAATATTTAAACAGAAAACTGGCAACACCGCACATTAGCCTAGTGTCTCTGCAGCACGTGACTGTGAACTATCCTTGTGCTAGCTGGACAAGACTCAAAATTCGGTTCACTCCCCCCGTCCCATCTGCACCAAAATGGGGAGGGGGAGGGGGTGGGTGGAAACAAACCAATAAGACATAAAACCACTTCAGATAAAACTCCCAGAAGACTTGTTGCTCATGGGGTAGAAAAACAGGCCTTACCACACCCCCTCCCCAAATGCTAGCCAAGAACCAGCACTGCTCTCAGAGGAACAGGTCAGACTGAAACCTCACCGTGGCAGCCATCAGTATTAGAGCACCATCGCGGCCTTCTCTCCCTGTCTGGGCGTAGCTGGAGCTAAACTACTCTCAAAACCGATCCGCGCACAGCACTCCCTCCTCAGGAGTTTTCTCCAGAGCTACAATCGAACTGTCCTGGTGGTCGCCCCCCAGTCAGACTTTGGGACTCGGGAAGGAGACGCTGCCCTGCCCAACCTGTCATGAACAAGGCCAACTGAGCCCTCGGCGTGCATCAGCCCCACAGCTGCTGCCGCCGCCGCTGCTCCTCGAGCCACACCCTGTACCGGCAGAACACACACAGACTCGGCTCCGGAAGCCTCCGGCCCTGACGCTGGCTGGCTGCCGCAGTCCCTGCTGCGCACACTGACGGGTCTCGCTAGCTCTCAAATGCGGGGTTGGAAGCGCTGGCCCTGCCTGCCACTCGACCTGTGCGAGCAGAATGCTTTGGGGTGCCCGGCGGCCCCTGCACACACACGCCTCACCTGAAGGGTGCGTCATATAGGGGAAATGCGCTGTTGTCGAGACTGGAATGGGCTGTAGTGCACTTTGAGCGAGGGCGGCCTGGGGACCGCCGGGTGGCTGTGTCGTCATTAGCATCATTGGCGCATGGGCAGTTGGATGAGAAGGAACCATTCCTGACTGTACATGAGCCTGAAACAGAGAGCTCTTTTACGCATACAGGCAACATCTCCAGCTTAAACAACATGTCAACTGTGTTCCTTTCGCGGGGCTGGGGCTCTCAGGGAAGGGCAACAGTGGCCCTTGGGGCCCTCTCTTTTCTCGGGGGACACTCCCTAGGAGAGCACAGCTGACCTACAGACACGCTCTGCCCTCTGGCAGATCGACCTGCAAGGTGGAGGGAGCAGGCACTGGGGAGCCCGGGTGAAGCCTGGGCTGCAGCGTCCTAGCCTTCAGCGCTCCTGGTCACTGGGTGCCACGCGCGGCGTGTGGTCTTCACCAAGATCGGACCCCGGCCACAGGGCCACGCGCTCCACTAAAGAGGCAAGATGCAATCATGCTTCCGAGTCTGGCTTCCCTGTGGGGCCCGAAGAAGGTTTACACAGGACAGAAAGCAGATCGTTACCTTATGGGCAGGGACTGTCAAATTCTGTTCTCTGGATACTCTCCTTGTTCGCCCCCAATGCCCACCCCTCCACTTCCTGCCTGCTCACCAGCGCCCCTCAGTGAAGAGTGAGTCAGGGCAATGAGAGAAGAGGCTCACCCCTCTACTCTGCTAGAAGATATGCTGATGCAGCAGCAGCAGGAGAAAGATGCAGTGAATGCCTCCAGTGAGACAGGGAGGAGCAATAAGACGGAACCCAGGCCAGCCCACTGTCCCTGTACCAAGCGACAGTGAGTTCAACCTGGTCTCACTGTCGGGTTGGGAAGGTTTTTGCCATCCCAGACAGGCAGACCTCAGTTCTGCAGGGACGTGGCAAGGCCAGGAGGAGCCATTTCCGTGCCTCCCACACCATGCACAACTCCACACCATGGTAAGCCTTGGATGAAATGCTATTTTTCATTCTCTTATATATTCACATGGGCCCACGGCATACCTGGGCTTCCCTGTGTTGATCCATTTTGCTCTTTCAGCACAAGAACACAAAAGCGAGGTTTTTAGGAACCCCAACCTACATGTAAACTCACGTACCCACTTGGCCACCGGCCACGGCTAGACACCTACAGGGCCCCAGCTCTCTGGAAGCTCCCGATTCGGCCGACCCATGCCGACCCACGCCTGACCGAACCAGCACCCTCCCCGCCATCCAAAGCAAACTGCCCACTGCGGTGCGCCACACTACCGAAGCCTCCCGGAGCTGTGGAACTCGGACAAGGTCACCTGAGAGCGCCAACTGAGTCGCACCTCCAGCTCCTACCACGCCACAGCATCAGCGGCACGCTGTGTCACGTGACATGTAGTTCAGCAAGGCAGTCTAGCTCAGACCCACCTACATGCTGTTGTGAAAGCAGCAAAGAGAGACATCGAATATACCACAGATTCGCCCTCCACACTCCCAGGGCGGGCCTCACGGACAGCGTTAGAGCCCGACTCCAGTGCGGCTCCAACTCCTCATTAAGACAGTCCACCTCGGCCCAGGGTTGCCCTGGACGTGCGTCAGTCGCTGATGCAGACAGCAGCCACCGAGATGGCCACCACACCGTTCCCCCTTTAGCAGCTGACACTGGGGGTGAGCTCCAGAGTGCACCCAGGGCTGCTCGATAAGAAGACCAGGAAAACCTGGGTGCTTTTGACTTCTCCTTATACTGCCCCAACATACAAGGCCAAGCCTTTTCAAGAAGTACAACACGCAGTCAAAGCAGATGCGCGGGTGACCAGAGAGAACGAGAGGAGAGGTTCCTCCGGGATTCACGTGACTAACGTGCGAGCTGACAGGCCCAGGGCGGTCCGAGGGTTAAAACTTGGTCCGGTCCGCCCTCCCTGCCACACACTCCGTGCGTGTGCGTGCACGCGCGCATGAGAGAGATCATATATATGTATGTCTACATACATACATACATACATATATACATGTATCTATCTCTCTCCCAGTGAAGCTATTTAAACACAGCGAAGCAGACACAGGAAGGAAAGGAGGGCTGGGTTGCATTCCGAAGTCCCAGATATTTACACACTCCCAGCCGGGAGATGTTACAGGACTGCCCATTCAGCAACTTCACTGCTCCCGTTACAAAACCACACGAACATCCATGTAGGGCCAGATCACATGTATTTGAGCGGGAAAAGGGAGACAGGCAAATCACACACAGGGTTTCCTAGCTTGGAGAGCATCTGGCTCTTTGCTGCTTATCTGGTAACCTTCACGTTCTGCCTGGTCTTTACAGAAAGTTGCCTAAAGCTGGTTTACCTGAGGTACGTGGGCCATGTGGGGTGGGGTGGTGTATGCCGGCTGAACGTGAGAAGGATGGATTGTAAAGACGGTCTGTTGTGCTGTTGGGAAACTATTCTGTGGCGACTGCGTGTTGGAGGCAGGTGTCATGGAAGGTGGGGTCGGCGCCAGCCCCGCGTGGTAAATGGCTGACTGCTGCTGCGGGCTGGCCAGATGGAGCGCCTGTGCGGCCTGGTGCTGATGGTGCTGCAAAGTGACAGGAGAGGGTTAAGAAAACCACTTCTTCACTGAAAAGTAGCTGAGGGACACACACACACACACAGCTGAGCTTTGCGCATGGAAGCAGGCTCCCCCCGGGCCCACCTGAGATGGGGGGGCGACAGCAAGCACAGAGGATGTACAGGGTGGTCGGAGCAGGGTGGGACCCGCTCAGAGACCTCCTTTCTGGGGTACACGCCCCGTTCTCAGCCCGGCAGTTACCAGCCCTCGACCGAGCAGAC